CGGCGCACACTCACGCTCGCTCTGCGCAGCTCCTGCTCCGGCTGGCGGGACCCCAGGCCGCCGGCTCGGTTTCCACGCCGAGTTAACTCGCGCTGCCAAACGTTTCCGCGAAGAGCCTTAAACTGCCGCGAGCTCTGAATGAGCCTGCCCGTTTTCCCACAGCCTTACCAGTACTGGACGTTATCGATTTAAAAAAATTTTTTAAATTTTTGTTAATTTGCCGGGTGGAAAGAGTTTCATTCAGGCTACGTCAACATTTTAAGGTGCGTCCTCCGTTCCCGACCTGGAGCCTGGCCCCACCGTGGGACCACGGTGGGAGACGAGGTTCGAGTGGCTGCCACAGTCCCCTCTGCCACCTCCTCTCACCCCCTCTTCTGGCTCTTCTGAGGTCACGGCCAAGGGAAGAGGGCGAGAGGGGACCAGGGAGGCCTGTGCACCTCGCTAGGCCACCCGCAGGCCTCGCTGGGTCAGGATCCCGATCCCGCCGGGCTGACTCAACTGTCCGCTGCGCCCTCTGTCGCCCTCCACAGCAGACATCAGCGGCCGCGTCTGCCCTTCCCGCGCCCCGCCCACCGAGGCCGGGGACCGGGCAGGGCCAGCCCTGCGTGTGCCCACTGGCCTCACATGGCCACAGAACACCGCCCCGGGACGCAGCGCTCGCTCGGAACTGCGACGCCGTAATCACTCCTCTGTTCCCGAGGCCTCTGCTTGGGGTCCGGGGCCCTGAGGCCCCAGGCTTGGGACCGCGTGGACGGCCGTGTCCGGGTTTCCGTGGGACGCTCCAGACACCGCCAGCACACGTCGTCCTATTCCAGCATTTTTACTGCTGGGTCGCGGCGGCCCCGCTCCAGGTGCGGTGCCGGACCCGTTTTTCCATCGACTCCCCTGAATCGGGGTGGGGGCCTGCCCGGCCGGGGGTGCCCCTGAGGGCATGACCTCTGCCTCCGGAAGGCTGTTAGGATGGAGGTCACTGCTGCTCTGCCGCCCCATTGTTCCCCACGGCAAGCTTAATCCAAACACGAGTAAACCGACAGCCGAGCGGGTCAACCCTGCCGCTTCTGACAAGGCCAAGCTTTTAAAGAGAAGGAACCGGAGAAGAAGATTCACGCGTAACACGAGGTCGGAGGCCGCCCGCGCTCCCTCCGGCCGCCAGGCACGCTCACCTGTGTGACGCCGCGTTCGGCCCGGGTGGCACTTTCGCCTTTTATCCCACACCAGGCGACACCTCCCGCCACCTGAGCCCTTGCGTTCCTTAAGCTCCGTGCCACTCCTGCGAGGGGACGCAGAGGGCCCGTCCCTGGACGGGACACGCGGGCTGTTCGCAAGCAGAGCTATCGCAGTGTTTCGAGTGCGCAGCGCTGGGTTTTCGCGGGCATGGCTCCCCGGAGCCTGAGAACGAGTATTTCGGTGCAGCTTCTCTTCTCCCGCTCAGTCCGCCCCAGCCCAGCCCTTCGTCTTCGGCCCGTCCTTCTCTGCCTGATTCCCGCTCCTGGCTCCCAGTGGTTGGGGGCAGGCGGCAGGACCCCAGTCAGATGCGAATGTCCTGCCCCCGACCCTCCCAGGGCGGCTGCATTTTTGGAGAGGAACAAGTTTAACCTGAGGTTATGAAACTCCGTGAACCCCGTGTTTTGCTTTAAGAGAGAGAAAGAGCGCACATTTCGTACCATATATTAAGAAATCCAGCAAAATCCTTTAAAAATATTTAAAAGTTTCTTTGCAAATGGCTCTCCTGCAGGGCTAGTGTTAGGCGGAAGGGCTTTAACTCGGGCTGGGCGACCTCACCGTAAATCGAGGCGAGCAGGGGACTTGGCCGCGGGGAGGCGCCTGGCCCCGCGACGCGGCGCTGGAGGGACCGCGGTCTCGCGGCCTCTGGCGCCCTCTGGCGTCCGCGGCGGGAGTTGCAGGCTCCGCCTCGAGCCCGTCGCATCCCCCGCTCCCTCCCCATCGCTGCGCCTGCAACACCTGTTCAGGTGGCCTCTACCTTCTGTCTGGGACGAGGACCAGCCACCTGAGATCGCGGGGAGGGGAGAGGCGCGTCCTTCACAGCTTCTCCCAGAACTTTGCGGGGTGGGGCGGGGGCCGAGCGGAGCCGAGTTCGGCGCATGCTCCGTGCCCCTGCGCCTGTTCAGCCGAGACTGCGGGGCAGGCGAGCTGTCCACAGGGGCACGTAAAGAAAAGTGGAGGGGACAGGCCTGCCGCCGACAGGCTCCAGTATGACCCGCCCCCCTGAGTGACCTCCACTTCCCACCCCCAAGGGCACCGTCTGGAGTCTCAGGCAGAGTCTAAGATGTGGCCATTCGGCCCCGCGCTGAGGGACCGGGGCTGATCTACAGTGGCACCGCTGAGTCGCTGGCAGAGAGAGCTCCTGGGAGCTGGGGCGGGGGTGGGGGGGGGAGTGCTGGCTCTGGGATGGTGACAGGCCCCTGAGGAGACATTTTGGATGGATCGTTCTTGGAGCGTTGCTTCTCACCCCCTGGCTATGAATTTCCCTGCCTGTGAACAAACAAGGCCACATGTGTGTGGCTTTGGGGTGGGAGGTGGCCGTGGCCAGCCCCACCTGAGTCATGCCTTCTCTTGGGCCCCTCCCCTGCACAGTGCCACCTGCCAAACCAGACTGCGGCATCGAGGGAGAGACCGTGATTGGAAATGACATCCAGCTGACCTGCCAGTCAAAGGAGGGCTCCCCGGCCCCTCAGTACAGCTGGAAGAGCTACAGCCTCCTGAACCAGGAGCGGGCAGGCTCCCCAGGTAACGGGGTCTGCAGGGCAGGGAGGGCGCGGCCGACCAGTGAGGTCCCCCGAAGGCTGTCCCTTCCCCCAGCCTGCCGTCAGCAGAGCAACACCTTGAAACATCGCTCGAAGCACCAGTGTCTCAGAATAACACCCAACTCCCTCTCAGGTTGTGCAAAATAAACGTGATTCAATGTGACGCACTTAGGGGAACCCACGGGAAACATCAGCTGCCTTCCTTATGCCCCCCGACTCAGCTCCCCGACATGAGCATCCGCAGTCACTGTGCGAACGCCCTGGGTGGGGATTAGCTGTGATTACCATGATGTCTCAGAGCACCCATTTGAGACCCCGCGCCTAACTCGGTGGCTCCACTCCAGGGCGGGGATTTCCTGTTCCCGTTCCCGCTTCAGGCCAATCCATCTCAGACTCCCCCGAACCCCAACTCCCCAAAGGCCTCCCCCATCGCAGACCTGGGCTGCCTCCCGTGAGAGCCCTGTGTTCTCGGGGACTGGGGTGGAAGGTTCACTTACTGTGGCCAGGCGACCGATGTCCTGGGCAGCTCGGTATTTGACCTTTCGGTCAGGAAACAAACCGGAAGGAAAAGAAAAAACTGATATAAATGTCTTACTGCCATTACCTGGGAGCGCACTGGCGTGGGAGCACCCCACCAGACCCCCCTGGGTGTGCTGGGGCGGGGCGTGGTTCTCACTCTGCCTCCCAGAGCCCTAGAGTCTGTCCTGGTTTCTCTCTCTGGGGCTGAGGCCAAACCCATCTCCAACTGTTGAAACATTTCCATCCACAGAGGATGATCTGGAGGTCAGGGTTCCCCCACCCTCCTCCACCAGAGACAGGATTCCCCACGTTAGAGGCTGCGTCCTTTGCTTAGCAATCGGGGGAAGCAAGCCAGCAGTGACGAGCACGGCGGATCCAGAATCAACACACAGGGACCTGGGTCCCGAAGCCTCCACTTTGTAGCTGCAAGTCACTCAGCCTCTCTGACCCTCAGTATCTTCTTCTGAAAACCTGGGAAGACCGTTGTACTGCCTTCCCTGAAGGCTGTGAGGAGGAGATGAGACCCCATGAACCACAGCTCTGAACATCCGCCGCAAGCTCGTCCTTGGCAGACTGGAGCTTCATGCACTGAAGGAGTGGGCATTTGGGCATCAAGGGAGGAGGGAGGAGGGAGGGGTGATTGTGGGGAGTCGGGGAGGAGGTCCTGGACAGAGAGGGTCTTGAGGGAAGAGGTGCAGCCTGAGCTTACTGACAAGCCATGGGGTGGGGGCGGACAGGCAAGGTAAATCTCGGCAGTGGCAGTGGCTCCGGGGACGGGGGTGTCTTGCAGGGAAATCTAAGAGCAGCAGGGAGGCGCCATCGCCTGCGTTTACCTTCTCGACCACAAGGTGTCAGCCCTGCTGCAGGACGCTAGATTCAGCCAGGTTTCAGGACCGGTTAGGGCTCCCCCAGAGAGGGGGTTCCGGGGCCCCAGCTCGGAGCCAAAGCAAGCCTTCCGACGTGAGGACCAGGGGGAACAGCACCGACTCGGCACGGGGAGCCCGCGGGGCTCTGCCTCTGCCGCTGGGGCGGCCCTGGAGGCTGTCCAAGGTCCTCACGCCGTGCACACCTCACGCGCAGACCCAGCTTCAGCGTCGGGAGCGGTGGGGGTCTGAGAAGGGCCGTCCAGCCCCTGCGAATGTCCCAGGTCTCGGAGCGTTTCCCAACGTGGGCTCCTTCCAGACGCCTCGCAACAATACAAACAATCCTGTTCGTTTAGAAAGTGAGACCATGAGCACCCGGGGCTCGTTAGCATAGCAGAAGTTCGGAGCATGTCAAAGGCGCATTTAACCCTTAACTCGGTGATTTCTCAACTTGTCCTGGTCACGGATGCTTCTCAGTACAAAACACTTGCACATGTAAACAACACTCCAGAAAGCACGGCAAGGCGTGGGGCTCTGGGGGAGAAGGCGGCATTCTGTGAGGGACGGGCGTCTGGAAGAGACCGAAACCACACGTAAGAAGAAGGGAGGGAAATCACCCCCATCACCAGGTGCCGGTGAGAGAGTGGATGGTTTTTACTTTATCCTTCGCTCTTTGCAGAGGCTTCCCCGGCCCTGCGGCTGAGATCCAATTCCCTTCCTATAAACTCAAGCAGCACTTTGCTTCAGGACCCCAGTGACCCTGCCACCGCGGCGTGTCCGTCTTCGCTCGTAGACTGGGACTGCCAAGGGGACGGGGGCCCCCTGCGTCTTGTTCAGAGCTGCCGTGATCAGCATGGAGTTTCTGGATCGGATTGAATCGAAATCGTTTTTATGTCATGTGTACATTCTTATGATGTGCACACATGGATCTGATCATTTTTTAAAAAAAGAAATGCTCCAGAGAGTTTTAGACCTAAAACAGGATTTTGGGGATGCTTCGTCATTTCTTAATTTTGTGACTTTGGGCAAGTCACTTGACTTCTCTAGGCCTCCAGTTGCCTCTATGAAGTTGGAGGTGGAAATGTTTGTCCCATCTACCATACAAAATCGTTGGAAGAATCACGGACGTCACACTCGAGGATGTTACTGAGTAGCACGTCTGGACAGGGAAATACAATCTTGCAAGACAGTGAGGTGGGGCTGTGGGGGGCGGGGGAGGTCTGGGCACCAGGGAACTCGCAGATGAAGCTGGATGAAGCCAGGCCAGATCCGTGCCCGTGACCGTGTTAAGACCGGGATTGGTACTGAAGATTTCGGGCCACCTCTGAAATGTCGGACCGGGTGGCGACTGGATCCTGTTCGTGGTTTAGAACGGCTCCTCGGGGTGCCAGGCCCCCCCCTGGTGGCAGCAGGGATCCCAGGAGCCTCTTCGTGCAGCAAACAGGAGGACGAAGGTCCCTAAGTCTTCTCTCAAAACTGCAGCTACGACGAAGCCTCTCAGAGGATGGCACGTTTAAATGCGTCTCAGCACAAAGCTGTCCCTTTCAAGGCGAAGAAGTTCTAGGTGCACAGATTTAGCAGGAAGCTCGCTCACGGGGACACTCGGGCCATCGTCCCTGAACTCGGGAGGGTCAGGAGTCACCTGACCGGTTTCGGATGAGGGAGCTGTGGCTCGGGGACGTTCAGCGGGAGATGGAGAGTCCAGACTGACAGCTGCCTCCTCCGCACCTCAGCCCCACGCTCACGCACCGCACTCATGGCAGAAAAATCCGGACGTCCGAGCTCTTGACCGCGAAAACCTTCGTCCACGTGCGTCTGAGCTAAGGGTCGGTTTCTGAAGCTCACACAGGAGTCACAGCGACGCCGTCTCATCAGAGGGCATTTCCTGCGGCGCGCGCCGTGCCCCGTGTTTCTGAGCTCTCGCCACGCGCGGGCGCTCCGCGGCGGCCTTACGGCGACGGTCCCCTCACCGATGCTCACGCGTGTCCCGTGAGGCAGGGCTATTGGTGTTCCCATTTTCAAATAAAGAAACAGAGGCTCAACGAAGCTAAGTTTCTTGCCCAAAAGTCACAAAACTAATCCGTGGCAGAGCCGGGCTTCGCGCCCAGGGAGGCAGGCTGGGCCGCGAGCACCTGGGGGTGGCGGGCTGCCGGTTCGCCGTCCGCGGCCGGGGCGGGTGTGTCCTCCAGGTGCGGCTTGCACCCAGCAGGACGCAGCCCCGGCTCCCACCGTTGCCTCTTCTGTGGCACCCGTGTCACCCTGGCTGTTTCCTCCCAGTCACGGGGCAGAGCTGGACCCTGAAGAACATCTCCGCAGACACATCGGGCTACTACATCTGCACCTCCAGCAACGAGGTGGGGGCGGAGTCCTGCAACATCACGGTGGCCGTCAGACCCCGTAAGAGCACACGAGGGTGCAGGGGGCGGGAGGACGATGGCCGGAAGGTGACGAGCGGGGTCCAAAGAACGAGCCGGAGAGGCTGCCGTGGAGGGTGGCTGGGTGACCTTGGCCCAGTGCGCCCGTCCCAGGCTCCCCTGGCCTGGAGGCCAGTCCAGGTCCCTTGGTTCTCTGGCAGTGGCACCTAGGACTGGCTGCTCAGTCCGCCGGCCCTGGGGCCACCCCGTAGGCGGGGTGAGGGCCCAAAGCCAGCTGCCAGTCTGGACCCCGTCCCTTGCGGTGGGATACTGACCAGCTCAGGGATAAGCCGGAGTCGGAACTGGCCCGGCTGACGGCCGAGGACTTCTCTGGAGCCCGGGTAGGGAGGCAAAGCCATCGGCCAGCTGTCTCTGTCTGCGTCTCCATCCTGAAGAGTCTTCCCGCCCTGGCTGGCCGCACTCCGACAAGGCCACGCCATTCGAGGGGCCCCGCTCCCTGCGCTGGGAGGAGGGCAGGGGCCGCCGGGGCCGGGAGGGACGTGTGCGGGACGGCTGGCGTGGGTGCCCTGCCCACCGCGCTCGCCCCGGAGCCTGGGCTCGATCGAGTCGAGTCGGGGATCCGGCCTGGGCCCGGGAGGTGCAGCCGCTGTGTCCCCACAGCCTCTATGAACGTGGCGCTGTACGCGGGCATCGCGGGCGGGTCACTGGCGGCCCTCATTCTCATCGGTGTCCTCATCTACTGCTGCTGCTGCCGGGAGAAGGACGAGGCCAAGGACACCAGGCCGTGAGTGGGGGCGGCCGCGCGGCCCGGGGCCAGGCAGACGGGCGGGGCAGACGGGCGGGGCAGACGGGCAGGCCCGCCCAGCTCCGCACAGCTCCGCCCAGCTCCGCACAGCTCCGCCACTCACGCTCCCGGGACCGGTTTTAGAGCCGAGAAGTGAGCACGTGATTCGCTCAAGCC